TTATAAATTTTTTCTAAAATTAAGTTACTAACTGGAATTACGATGACAATGACGATATGGAAGAAAATATAACTTTTCAAATAGGTTTTTCTACACAGGATGACGGGGTTTCTAAGAAAATTGGGTTGAAGCTGGAACGGTCGAGAGTGTTCTGCATATTTCAGAACTTTATTGGTTGCAATATTTTTATGAAAGATCTTATATTGTACAACTGTAGAAGCATTTTGCAAATTTATATACTGAGTGTTTCATAAAAATGAAACAGGCGGACAAGGATTTTTTTCTCATTTCACTACCTACTTTCCTACATTATTTATTGAAATATCTTGATGAAGATTTATATAGTTACTAACCAGACGCTTTCTTTGAAAATCCATGTACTGGATGTATACATAAAATGGCCCAGGTCAGAATTATCGGTCCAGAGGCTTCCGTATATTTCAGACATTTATTGATGGCAATATTTTTATGAAAAATCTTATATTGTAGAACTCAGAAGCATTTTGCAAATTTATATACTGAGTGTTTCATATAAAAATGAAACAGGCGGACTAGGATTTTTTTCTCATTTCACTACCCACGTTCCTACATTATTTATTGAAATCTCTTGATGAAATTTTATATAGTTACTAACCAGGCGCTTTCTTTGAAGATCCATATACTGGATGTTCTACATAAAGTGACCCAGGCCAGAATTATCGGTCCAGATGCTTCTGTATATTACAGAAATTTATTGATGGCAATATTTTTATGACAAATCATATCTTATAAACTAGATGTTTTGTACTGGTTATTTCATAAAGCTGACACAGGTGGACTAGGCTTCTCTATTCTTTTTACTTTTTTTACTTTCTCTACTGAAACGTTTTGAAGAAAACTGACCATTCGCTTCCTCCATTTCTGCCTTACCTACGTACTGAAATCTTTGAATGAAAAATTGTCTATTTATAACAAGATACTTCAGAATTAGGAGAGTGAAACTTAACTTACTTTTCCCCATTTCTGACTTACCTACGTACTGAAGTCTTTGGATGAAAAATTTTATATTTACTAACTAGATACCCTTTTGGAAGTTTATACTGGATGTACAAAATGATCTACATCAGAATTGAAACCAAAACAAAAAGGCGGCAGACCAGATTTTTTTTACTCTTTTTACCTTTTTCTACTTTCTTTGGTAAAGTTCATTGATGAAAAATTTTGCATTTACCAACACGATGTTTTTTGATAATTTTTATACCGAATGTTACAACAAAATTGATCCAGGTCAGAGTTGCAAGTGTTCAAACGTATTCATATTCTTTTTATTTCATTCTACTTTATTTTTTGAGGTAACAATTTTATAATATGTTTTTTGAAGCTTTACAATATACTGCATGTTCTGTAAAATTGATCTAGGATAGACCCCCTGGATTATTCCTTATCATATTAATTTCTTCTACTTTATTTAGTGAAGCCTATTCATGAAAAGTTTTTTTTTTAGAAACCAGATGCCATTTTAAAACTTGCTACACAGAATGTTTCAAAAAATCGACCCACATTTGAATGGTGATAATAATGTAGATGGTAGTGATGTAGATGATGTAAATAATGGTAATGTAAATGATGGCGAGTAGATGATGGTGGTGTAGATGATGGTGACGTAGACGATGGTGGCGTAGATGATGGTAATGTAGATGATGGTGACGTAGATGATTGTGGCGTAGATGATGGCAATGTAGATGATGACGATGTAGATGATGGTGATATAGATGTTGCTGTAGTAGATGATGGTAATGTAGATAATGCCGATGTAAATGATGGTCAGGTAGATGACGGTGATGTAGATTATGGCGATGTGGATGGTGACGATGTAAATGATGATGATGTATATGGTGGTGATGAAGATGATGCCGATGTAGGTGATAGTGATGTAGATGATGGCGATGTAGATGCTGGCGATGTATATGATGGTTATGTAGACCATGGCCATGTAGATGTAGATGATGTAGATGATGGTGCTATATATGGTGGCGATGTAGATGATGGCGATATAGATGTAGATGATGGTGACGTAGATGATGTAGATGATGGCGATATAGATGTAGATGATGCTGCTGTAAATTATGGTGATGTAGATGGTGGTGTAGATGATGGCGATGTAGATTATGGTCATGTAGATGATGGTGATGTAGATCATGGCGATATAGATGATGACGATGTGGATATTGATGATGGAGATGTAGATGATGGTAATGTAGATAATAGCGATGTAGATTATGGTGATGTTGATGATGACGATGTAATGGTGCTGTAGATCATGGTGATGTAGATGATAGTAATGTGGATGATGGTGTGATGATTTAAAATACATTCGCGCAAGAGAGTGTTCCGCGAAGCGGAGCTCATGGGGCGCGCAGCGCCGCCCGAGGGCCGAAGGCCCGAGAGAAACGTCAAGTCGGCGAAGCCGACTTGCCTACGTTTCTAGTCAATATATATTAAAATTTGATAGCTCCGTCTGCGTCGCACGATCGCCCCGAAAAAGCGCCGATTTCCAGACTCGAACGTTTTTCGAGGGAGCCGCGCAGCGACGAACCGCGGCGGGCGAAGCCCCCCGCCTGCCTTCCTCCGTCTCATCGTCGTATTTTGATTTGGCGATTTTTTGCCGTCTTCGAGGTGAATTTTGAGTTTTCTTCGGGATCTGCGAGGGGCGGGGCCCAATTTTTGTGTGAAAAGCGATAGTCCGACACGCCCTCCCGCTGAAATCTGACGGTCGCCGATCGCCTCGAATCGCGCGGATACGGCTTTTTTATTTTCTATTTCCCCTTATTTCTACGTTATATTATTTAAACCTGTGCCCAAAATACTCATATTTATCGACCGAGTTCCTTCTTCCAACTTTTTATGTACAACTTTCCGCGAAATCAAACGCGGGATTCGAAATGCGGCCATAAATACGTTAAAATGCACTGTCTAGGAAGGCCGGAAAATGTGATATTTGCGCCACAAAATTCCTTCTCCGCGAGCCTCGAAACAGCGTGCTACTTGGCACAGATACTCAGTCGTTCCTCCTTAGTCGTTCGGGTGCATTTTTGTGACGTTTTTTTCGCGTTTTCATACTTAATTTTGCCTCTTTTTGGGGTCCCCTCGACGACAGACGACCATTTCACAAGCCGTAAAGATTGAAGCTTTAAGACACGCCCACTCGGAGAAAATTCGAATGACGTTAGAAACGTCAGATTAATTATGTCAAAATAATTTCACGCCAAACGCTAAAGACGTCTGTGGGGTCGCGGCGAACCGTTATTTTACCTTACTAGGCCTTTTTTTAACCTTAATACATTGCTATGCCACGACATATACAGGTATTTCTTATTATTAGGTTAGGTTGTTATTTACATTTTCGCAGCTCTACCGTTTGACATGCCTAGGAATACGATACCTGTCCCCCGAATAAACGTAAGTACTTGCCCTCTAAAACAGCATAATTTTAAACCAATCCATAGTACCTAAACCCTTGAACCTTTGTATTAGTACA